GAACCACTGAAGCTATAGTACAAATCTTTTCAAAGTTTGGAGAAAACTATGACTATAATTTAAAATTGTATTGTTAACTTTATTTTGTACAAACCAGTCACAGATATTTGTTAAATTTCTTGTGAAACTAGTGGCCTGGAACATCTTTGTTATTCTTGTTACCATTTTTATTATATTAAAGGGAAAAGGGAAGTAAACCTGAACTGAGTGGACTTGTCAGCACTATCACTGTGTTGCTGTGTAGATTCTGTGTGAAAAAGACAAAGAAATTTTGAGAAAAAAGAAGTCTGATGAAGTTCAGGAAACACTTTACCTCACTATTCTTCCTCTTTTTATTTTTTTTTCCAAATCTTTGTTTGGTTTCCCTTGCTCTGGTAAAAATAATAGAATGAGCAAATGTATCAAGTTGAATGAAGGAAGGGCCATTTATAGTCGTGCTTTTTTTTTTTTAAATTTTCTACTCTTCCTTGTTAAGTACAGCAGTTAAGAGGACTGTCTTAAAACAGTTAGCAGCATCTGTTGGACACTACAATCTCTATATATGAAATACAGAAGTATTATGATGGCTGATAAAGTGAGGTAGGCAAAATTTTCCCTTTGAAGAAGAGGTAATTCCTCAGTATGGTGCAAACCTTTGCTTCTTTTGCCTTAATCCTCAAGAGAGCTGACACTCTTATGCAGGACGTTAGCCTTACACCCTTACACTGGCCTTACGACTATATTTTGGTTCCTGCCTTCATTCAGTATCTTCCCAAGTGTATAATGCAAAAGAGGGATTAATTTCTCTGCTACTCTGTCTGGAACAACCTTTAAGCTCAATATTTCCTCTGTACATTAGATTTAGTGTCCAGTTGTTACAACAGCAACAGAGGAGAGACAACTGGTGGCTTGTTTGGAGATGGGAAGTGGTTGAAATTGGTCGCACCACCTAGTCAACTCAAAAGGTCTCCATGGGTTTCTTCTTTTGTGAACTGTGAGAATCCAGAAGTTTTCCCCAAAATCAGAGACAGTTTGAGTCACATGTATTTTTCAAATGTCAGTTCAGCAAGTTGCATAACCTTGAAAACCATACAAATGGGTTTCACTTTTCTGCAGAATAATTCACACACACACAAACCCCTACATAATTACATCATGACACAAAATCCTGAAATGTTCAGGTCTGTTTACAACTTTGGTATTTTCTATTGTATAGGACCAAGTAAGCAGTTTTTCTGGTGGTGTTTTTTTTTGTTTGTTTGTTTGGTTGGTTGGTTGGTTTGGTTTGGGGTTTTATTGGGGGGTTTTTTTGGTGGGGTTTTTTTTTGTTTTGTTGTTTTTTGGGGGGATTTTGGTTTTGTTTGTTTGGGTTTTTTTGGTTTGTTGGTTTTCTTAAATTAAAAAAGGCAAATAGCAAATACCACAGAAGGTGAACTGTGTACCTTTATTACTAATAATACAAATAACTGTGTCTATCTAGCACAAATAGCAAATTTTTTTATTGATATTTTAAATAGGTCTGCCAGAACTGATCCTTTATAGTAGGAGAGGAGGTGGGACTCTCAATTTAAGGAAATTTAAGAAAAACTTTTACGAAAAGAAATTCAGATACAAAAGATATTGTAACTGTATCTTAATAATAGTAGCTATACTCCAAAAGAAACTGCTAACTTAATCATATGATATCAATGCAAATATTAATTCTTATAGTTAAACAAGATTTTAAAAATATATGTAAAATATCTTTCTATATTTTAAATAAAAGGTTGGTTGCTTTTTCATAGGAGATTTGTCAGTATACTCAGTAGTCACATTGGGTTTAAAAAAAGGTAAACAGACCTCCTGATACTTTGTCTTTTTTTATATCGCATACCAGCTACAGACATAGCCTTCAGCATTACGATAAAAAGTGTCTATGAGCTGTCTTCCTTCTCCCATCTCGCTCCCAGAAAGCATTATTACTCAGAAATTTTCACAGCTGGTAAGAGAGTAAGGAAATGTTTGAGTGCAATTATTTTCAAGTTGTTGATAACTTTAATTAAAATATTTCTGAAACTGCATCTGAGTGTTTAGTGTGCGTAGAGTGCAACACTCCATACTGTGCTATCTTGTGGCATCTTACAAAATAAAAAGAAATGCATCCATGATTTGTAAATACATTTTTAGTGGCTGGAAAGTTGTCTTGCACAAATAATTTTGTGTTGTCCCATGTACTGACACCTCTGAAATCTTGCTTGAAGTAGTTTATAGCTTTGTCTAAACTGGGGTAGTTGCGCACGATGGTTTATACAATGACGAATTACTCTTCGCATTTACAGGACTCTGTACAGTTGTTGGGTTTAGCACTGCTATATAAAGCATTAAGCTTATTACGCCCAAAAGAATTAAATTATGCTGAGGCAATTTGATTAGTTGTGTCCAAAGGAAGACACAATGGTAATGAGCTAAAAGCTTGAAGCGAACATAGTTAACAGCAGTACATCATAATTAAAGAAAAATATTCATGTAAGCATTTTCGTTTAATCTGTTTTCCCTTTTATTCAGTTCATTCACCATTCCTGTAAAAATGCTTTTTGACTTCCAGATGATTCAAAGTATTAAAGTTGATTGAGCTTTTTAATTTTAGTTCAATGTTTATACACACTACACGCAACCTTGTGTTCACAATCTGTATCAGAAATTCTGGATTCGTTGGATTTCTTTCAAAATGTTAAATGATAGGCATCTTAATTTAAATTTTTCTTGAAACATCCAGGTCTGTTTATGAATTGTGATACAAAAAAGACAAGAGCACCTACTCATTTCAGTATGGCAAAATTAGACCAGTCATACATGGAATCTGGTTGATATTTCATTAGCATTATTTTTACTTGAAGCAAATGGAAAACCTAGGTGCCTCATAGTGGTCTGCTAAATGCTGGAGAAGAGAGAAGACTACTGTAGTAGTAAGGCAACATTCTGGGAAAATCAACAGATTCCTGCAGAAGCAGGTCATTCAGCACCTTGCCTTCAGAAGCAGGTAGTGTGATTCAGTGATGGCAAGTGCTATCTCATGGGCAGCCTTCATAGCACAGCTATTTTCAGCAATATATAATTTGATAAGCATTTTCAACTCAGCATAATTTAGCATATTTATTCCTTCATAAGTTTTAATTCCGCTTAAGAGGAATGATCCTATCAACATAAAGAGGTCATAAGGATTGCTGCATGATCAGATTAACCTCTCTTCGACTTCATTGCCTCAAAGCTTTAGATCAGTTCTCCTTGATTTTGGAAACAATTTGTGTGCTGTTTCCAGGCTAGTCTTTCCAATTTATTGACATGATACTATGTTTATTTAATACTATCTATTGCTTTATTTTTATTAATATTTATAGGCACATTCCCACCGTGTAGCCTGATTCTATGAGGATAATATTACCTAAACACTGTATTCTAGGATTTTTCTCTCTCCTCATTTTTGTAACTTTTTTGTAACTATTTAGTTGTGCCATATATAAACATGAAATTACACTGATATTAATAATGATCTCTTTCCTTCTTCACAAACTGAGGTGAACAAGCACCTGTTAATAGCTGCTGCTTGCAACACCAGAGCCATTGGAACTTCACCTTAAGACTAAGGCTATATGGATTTGTGAGTCTTAGCTCACTCCTAGTGAAGTTGTTAAATGATTGCTAGAGTGCTTGATAGGATAGATGTGAATTTTCTATTGCCCTCTGAAGTTGCTTAAAACAACGCTAAACCCCCCTCTTTCTTGCTACCTCTGTTGATCTTGAAACACTTGACTCCTGGAGGTTCTATGGGGAGAACTGAGAGAGATGGTTGACTTTGTTTCCCTCCAGGATGAAAATATGGAATGAAAGAAAATAAGCTTGACTTAGGGTTCTGCCTAGTCAGGGTTTATCAGTACTTTCATGGTTCAGAAACTTTTATGGTTTAATAGTTATTTAAATTAGTGTTTTGTTAACTGTATGTTTGCTTGCAACATAACCACATAAGAGCAATGATTCCTTTAAAACACTTCTCTGAAAAGTCTTCTTCTGCTTTTTATTGTTTTCCACACAGTAACAGCAGCTCTTCAGAAGATTTGGTGACTGGGCCTCAATAAATTGCTCCTGGGTTTTGGTTTTGGTACTGCTATTACCTATATCATCTGTTAATTGTGTTATTTTATTTGTAATATGATACGTTAAGGAATGTAAGGTATTCCATAATTGTCAGATTTCAGGAAGGATATTCAATTTAATTCTGTTTTTTCAAGACTCAACTTCTCATGATAATTCAAATCTATGTATTAATTATTATGCAGAATATAACCTGATGCCTATTTATTTACTCTTGATAGCTTGTGGAATAAGTAACACATGGGAAATGTGTCTGAGATTCCATTAGAAATCTGAGCCTGAATTGTGCTGGAGTCATTGTGCATGGTACTGTATACACTCATGGCAAAAAGCAAATTTGTATCCATTTTGAGTAGAGCTGGATCCAAGCAGTTTAGTTATTGTATGTATGAGATCATATATTTCAGAGAATATATGTCAGCACTAATCCTGACTTTCTTTTCAGCTGACATTGAAAAAAGAATTTCAGTGCTTTTTAAAGTGTTTACTCCAAAGGTTCAAAACCTTGACCCATGCCCGAATGGAGAAATTTTCTTCTGTGAAAGAAGCTTGGAGATATGGAAATGTTCATTTTTCTAGCAAGTCTGAAACATTGCCACTTCAATTCAACCCAAATAAATAATTCTTCTGATTCTCTCCCATCTTTCTTTCTCATGTCTAGAAAAAAAGAAAGAGTCTATATTTCGGAATAAGCCTAAACTTACACACTACATCTGTAATTTTACATCATGTTTATAAATTAGAATTATTTATATCTTCTAATTTCAACCTCTGTGTTTGTTTCCTTACACAGTAAGTGTCACAGTGGGTAAAACTTCATGTAAGCATTTTCATAAGAACAATTACATTAAAAAGTACTTGTTTTCATTCCATGTAATATCAATTTCCATTTATTTAATTTAGACATATCAAACATTTTCTTGGAGAATATAGTTTAATTTCTGTAAGAAAGCAGTTAAATGGGATATTTCTACTTCTGGATTTTTTACTTGTTTTTCTCTTGTTGCTTGTTTTCCCAATGCTTTTAAAATAACCAAAGTTGTTTGTGATTTCATGAATGTGTCTGTGCAATATACAGCTGCAAAAGAAACAAAAGAGATTCTGATGAAGGGTGAGGGAGGTACTTTCAATGACTAATGTGTTTGGCTTTGTCTTTTTCACTGTCTGCTAAACAGCAAGGCATTAGATAAGAGAAAGCAATAAAGGAAGAGTTTAAAAAGCGAGATAGAAAGGTACAATAATGATGCTGGCACAAACTTCCTCTATCTCTTCAAAACTATCGAGAAAAGTGTTTGAACATTGGGTAGGTTGGGATAAGGGTGTTTGGCAGGAATACAACCTAGGTAAATCAGTAATCCTTGGAACAGGGAAATTACAAATATCAAAAATCCTTCAAATAGGTGGAAGTTTCAAAAGAAAGATGTTATCAAAAATATGCCATTGACATCTGTTCAAAAAAACCAGGCTGATTTTTTGTTTGCTTTCTTTTAAGTGGTGGGATTTGCTCACAAAGAGGATTTATTCATTTATTGCTTTTCCTAAAGGCTTTTTTATCTTGCAAAAAGTAATATAAATTACTTTGTTTTCTAAAGCCCTCTGTCAGCAGAAACACGCTGTGACAAGTTCCCTCAAGAAAAGTCCTGTAGGGTCAAATCCCAGCTGAAATTCCTTAGTGAGCCATGCTGAATATTTGCTACCTCACTGCTGGTCGGAGTGACTGGATTGCAGAATACTGACTTGAAAGGTAGAAAAGCCTGAGGATCTGTACATCTGGCAGTACAGGTGTCTGCTCATCAAACCAAAGAGCACCACTGGATGTTTTTTCCTATTCAAGGGAATCCTATTACTCCTTAGAAAAGTATGATCACTTCTTAGAAAAAGTATGATGAAATTGCAAAAGTAGTCATCATTGGTTATCTTCTGTTGATTTTATATTCAGTAATATCTCTTCCTGGATCACAGTTAGACTACCAAGCTCAAGTAGTTTGTAATTGATTCTGCAATTCCGGTACCTTGATGCACAGCACACACTGACTAACTGACTAACCTTCCTATTGATGTTTCTTCCAGTGTAAACTGGAGAATAGGAAATAAGGGAAGAGGAAGAGAGAAAACTATATAAAATTGCAGCTCACCTTATCCCAGCCAGCACCTGCATCCAGGCTCAGGGTCTAACAGCACCTGCAGTTTGGATGAACCACTAATTTTAACAGAAGCAGCATGATGCTCAGCGTTGAGTAGGACAGCCACTTCTTCTCTTGAACTGGAGTGATTCCTGGGAATGAGATAGGCTGAATATTAAGTAACACACACCGTAAACATAATTTTCTAGAAAATAATATGCTTTTTCTTCCCATGTCACCATTGCAACAGTTTCAGTTACAAAGAAGACAAGGAATAGTGTCGCTAGCTTGCTGTCCTGATTATTTTCTTGAGCACCAAGCTTGAAAAGGACTGATTTGTTTCCATCTGTGTGCCTCTGTACATCTGTTAAGCTAAATAGATTGAAGGGATTGGGAAATATTATCAGACTAAACACTGTGATTTCTGTGCTTTTTATAGATGGAAATGACCTAGCTACTCAAAAATAATGTTTTATTTCATAAAGAAGACACAGGTGAGTTATAATATGGAGTACTGTTCAAAGCTTATTCTGTAAGTTATGTTACTTTTATTAAGTATTTCAGAAAACATATATTACCTCTGCTGTTTGGATATATTCAAATACATTATCAGTGTGAAAGAAGCTCAAATAAATGAATATAATATATCAAATATTACCAATACTGGATGTTCTTATGCCATGTGAATACCACTCCATTAAAAGCTGACTGTTAATACTAGTAATTCAACAGCAAAAAAGATGTTATTTCTTTTCTCTCCCCCATAACACATCTTGGCTTAAACCAGAATCATTTATTCATTTGTGGAAAATTCGACTGTAGGTTTGCATATAACTTGATGTAAGAAATTATTGGTTTTCTGACTGTATGTAAGGCACATACAAATCATTGAATAAGAGTTTGATGCATATATATATTTATATATATATATATATATAATGCAGCTTTCACTGCTTATGGGCTGCAGCTGTAATAAACTTGGAAGGATCCTAGTAGGTGGTTCTAGCCACCACAAGCCTAAACTATCTACAGCATCATCATCACATTTAACCTCATTCATCATGCCTGTGTGAAATTCCATTGTGGTAGCAACTATTTAGCTGCTTATGGATAGAATGTACATAGATGTTGAAGGAGCAAACTCTCAGTGTCAATAACCATAACATGAATAGAATGGTACAAACATGTCTGAAATTCTTGTTATTCTTATTATTTTCGTCTTATAAAAGCAGCTCAGGTGACCCACAGCCATTATTTTAAGACAACCATATTTCCAACCAACAGGAACTGTACTATTTTAGGCCTAAAATCCTAAACTGGCAATTTTCTTTATTCTGCTCTGCCTACAATAGAAAAATTTGAGATGAAGGGCAAAAAAACCCACTGAGCTGTGTTTCTTCCATCTGTATAGCTACAAAGGGAAGGAAAACAAGGGGAAAACACACATAAGGTAATTACCAGGTTCTGCCCTGATGAAGATAACTGCCTCATTGTGTCCATTATAAATGTAGTTCAAACTTTGGCCTTAAACAATGGAGACCACAAAATACATATTTGCTACATATTGAGAATGTTATGGGAATGACATAAATATTTTGTACAAGGGTAGCAATACTTCTTGAACAAACTTTATCTAGCCATAACATTCTGGCACATGGACTGCTGAAACAATTGTTGCTGGGGAGAGGTTCTGAGAGGAAGACTAATACCCCAAAGTAAATTTGTTTTCAGGTCTCCTTTTAGAAAGGCTTTCTCTTTTCAGTTTACTGCAGAAGGACTGCATGGTGGGGGAGCTGGAGGTTTTCCTGTGTATGCCCTTCCCTGAGGGCTTCACTGTGGAAGAATTATTGTAAATTCACAAGATGCTCTGTGGAGCCAAAAGACAAAAGTAGGCTCTATGGTAACAAGATGAAGATTCTTCCTATATTGTTCCCTTTCTTTGTCCATTTTTTGGACTGGCTAATTCTAGAACGTGAGTGTAAGAGGCAACATCTATATAGGAAATTAAGATGTTGGCAATGACCCAGATACCGCAGACATACATATGCTGTTAAATTCGTAGAATTCCTTGTTTGGTTCTTTGCCACTTTAACTACCAGCATGAAAATCTCTAGAAAGTTCTTTTTAATGTTACAATATATTGATCACTAAATCCTGTGGTGACTTTCCTAAATGAATTATTACAAGATAATAGCTTCCATGGCTCTATAAGCTACTAGTGGAACTCTTTGGTTTTCTCTTTTGTTTCTTTTTATTTAATGTCTTCTTTTTGGTCACAAATTTCTCCTTAGCCATTGCCAGTTTTTCTTCAATAACCACCTCTTTTCAATAATCACCTCTTTTAGCTCTAGGCCTATTACTATTTCTGTATTTCCTCATCCATTGTGCTTATTCTCTTTCCTTTTCATCAGTTTTATCTTCCCGTTCAATTCTGGTTGCATTTCTAGGAATGTACTGTATGAATTCCACTTTTAGAAAGTAAGACTAACACATTTCTGGGACTTGGATAAATTGTCACAAGACCTTTTTTATTGTTAAACATCTTAAGATTGTATAGAGATGCTTAATTACTTCTATCAGATAAAGAATTAATAATTGCACCAAAAAATCTTGGTATTGTCTTATTATTTAACATGCACAAGACTATGCCAGATATTCTGATCTGATGGACATAGGGAACTAGATGAATAATAGACTCCATTCACTTCCTATTATTATACTATTTATATTTTTGTAGGGATAGTAGGAATGTTTACTAGGAAATAAAACAAAAAAGAAAATTTGACAGAGTTGCTGCATTTCATTCAATAAGTTAACTTCAATAACTGAAGTTATCTTCAACTGCAACTCCTGATTTTTTTAGGCTTGAGGTAGCAACAAGACCAGGAATTACTCTTCCATCTCTGGAAAGCATATCACACCGGTCTTGGGACATTTTGCAGACCACAGGCCACCCTCAGCCAAGCCTGAAGGTCAGCCGAAAGGTTCAGATAGTCCAACATGCAGCTGTTTGTCTTTCTTAACATAGATCACCTCATCCAATTTCTGTTCTTACTGTTTGGTTTCTTTTCAAATCCCACTCTACTTCAAAATATTGTAATGTGTTCCTTGAAAGGACTAGCAATCACTTTTGAAGGATCATCTATCGCACTGCCCATTACTAGAGAAACCTCATCCTTAACTTTGTAAGCTGAAAGAGCCCAGATTCAAATTTACCAAGTGTGGACTCAGGGAATTCTTATAAGAGGAATCCTGGATGAAAAATTCATGTTTGCTGGAGTTTTGCTGCCTATAGGATATCTCTTTTAGTAAGTCTTCCTTATGAAAGAAGCTGTGAACTGGCTCTAGATATATGCCCTCAGAAATAACAAGCAATATTTTATAACTCTGAAATGAGCAACTTTTTTATCTCTGGCAGATAGTCTAGATAACAGCTCCATTGACTATTCAAGGAAAATGATAAACTTCTAAAGCTTGATGATTCAATCTATTGTAGCTGCAGGGACACAGTAAGGATATTTGTGCAAAACACTGAAGAACAGTTCTGAACACTAATGTGCTGAGATTACTAGAATTGCTAAGACCACTGACATAAACAACTGGCAAAGTGGAGGTTTCAAAGCTGGTTTTTCTACTGTTTTTTATAAGATTAAAGACATACCTTAAAAATAAGCACTTCTAAAAATTAAATCTTCTATTGCAAAGAGTGTCCATGATATTTTTATCCACGCCAGTATTTTATTTGTCAGGGACATTAAAATGTTATATATATAATATAGAATACAAATTGTAAAGGAGGCAACATTCTTTAGAAGAAACAGAAGAACAGCTTTTTTTCACTGCACAGATAGTTTTCTAATTCAGTATCTTCATTATTCAGTATCTTTATTATTGTAAATAGAAAAATATTTAAAGGATATTCTGCACTGCAAAAGAACACTCTAGACATTGGTCTGTGGTTCTTCTGTATGTCTATAGCACAAAAACATTTAAGAGACAGCTTCTGCATAGCTGAGATTGTTAAAATCTTACTTTTCAGACAACACCCAAAGCTCTGGGAAGCTGATGCTACGTAGCTAGTTGTGAAAAGTAACACGCCAGTTACTATAATTAAGGAGCAAAATATTTATATTGTATGCAGGGCACCTTGATTAGAAGGTTTTTAGAAGAATCACTACAGGCAAGTGTTAAATACTACAAGTTAGTTCTGTGAGCCAGACAGAATTCAGACAACCAGAGATAATGAGACTATAAAGATGATATGTAGCTAGCAACAGTTGTGGCTTGCTTAGGGATACATGTAAACACAGTCTGGTTAGAACACTTAACAGCATAAATGTGGAAAAAATAGAAAGGATAAAGCAAACAATACATCAAATGGTTTGTGGGCAGTTTTCAATACATGCATGTTCTCTTTTAATGCTGAGAAGAAATAACATGCCATGACTACTATCTACAGAATAAAAGCATTCAAGTTTTTCCCACAGAAAAGATATCCACTCCTGCTACTCTTTCTCCAGTGTTATTGTTTTCTCTATGTAATGTGGTAGCTGTCTGGGTTCATGCTGCCTTTAATTCTTCAGAAGCAGTTCCTTCCCTATTTTCCTGCCTTAACAGAGTCACTGTCTTCTCTCCTCTCTTCACTTCCTCAGGTGTCTCAGTCAGAGTTGAAATCAAAGAAAATTAATTGTTGGAATGATGGAAAGTCGTAGTCAGTCTGGATGGGAAAATGTTAGACATCTAAATGACAAAAGCTATAAAAATTACAATTGCTCAATGAGAAACAGTCTCTAGGAGTAAGCCCTGAAGAGGTTACCCAGGGAGGCTGCAGGTTCCTTGTGACAGAAGGCTCTAAATGATGGGTAGAGCAATTAGCCATCGGGGTAACACAGGTACAGCACACCGTGCTTTCGAGAAGTATGAACTCAAGGAATGACTGCATTTTGTACCATGTCAATGAAAGTAGTTTGAATGTAACTAACACAGTCCTCATTTTTATTTCCAAGCAGGCTGTTTCCTGAGTAGGTATTAAAATCACTATGTTTGGACCCTCTTGTTTGCTTGTTTTAGTCTATTATTAATTATACATTATGTTTGTGGAAATCTCTCTGTGTAGTCATACAGATCTTGCGTTGGTTTTAGCCTTGGCCTT